TCTATCTATCTATCTATCTATCTATCTATCTATCTATCTATCTATCTATCTATCCATCCATCCTTCCATCCACCAGCAACCACTCATCCATCAATCTATTTATCTATTTATCTATCTATCTATCTATCTATCTATCTTTCTATCTATCTATCTATCTATCTATCTATCTATCTATCTATCTATCTAGCTAGCTAGCTAGCTAGCTAGCTATCTTTCTATCTACCTATCTATTTATCTATCTATCTATCTATCTATCTTTCTATCTACCTATCTATCTATCTATCTATCTATCTATCTATCTATCTATCTATCTATGTGTACTTGCTAAGATTTTCATCCCACTTAACATGGGTTGGCCCTTAGAAGCAAGGTCAGAGCAGCTCACTTTTGAACGATCGAGATTATGTCGAGGGAAACGTAAAATGAATATTTTCCTTTACAATTACATTTGAAGAGTTGTGGAATGTCAGAAGTGAAATGTCTAAATAAATCTCCTTTCCTTGGGGGATGATTACCGATGTACACATTTACTCGTTCCTTCAGGTAGGCCAGCTGGAGGTGAACGGGCGCGCCCTGAAGATCGCCATGACGCTGCTGAGCCGGGATATGACCGATCTCAAGTCCACCACCAACGGCATGCTGGGAGAGCTGGAGTCCAGTGTGGTCTACATCAACGATAACGTGGAGAAACAGGCGGGACTCCTGAAGACGGTCGTGGAGGATACGGTGCTGAGGAGCACGCGGGATATCACCACACAGCTGGGAAGACGAATTGAGAAACTGGGGAGAAGACAGCAAAAAGCTCAGGTTGGGACAATCTGTGTCTCTGCCTCTCTTTCTCGTCCTATTTCTCCCTCTCTATCCTCCCCCTCTCTCTTTCTCTCTCTTTCTCTCTCTTTCTCTCACTCTTTCCCTCTCTATCTCTCTTTCTCTCTCTCTTTCCTTCTCTCCCTCTCTTTCCCTTTCTCTCCCACTATATCTCTCCTCCTTCTGCGTATCTCTCTCTGTTCTCCTCTTTCATCACTTTGTCTCTATCGCTCACTCTCTCTCGCTCTATGTCCGTTAGTGTCTCTCTCCCTTTCTCTCTGTCTCTCTCTCTTTCTCTCTCTCCCTCTCTCTCTCTCTCTCTCTCTCTATCTATCTATCTCTCTCTCACTCACTCTCCCTTTCTCTCTCTATCTGTCTCTTTCACAAAGAAATTGTGTCTCTCTGTGAAGTTGTTAGTTGGATGAATGTTTGTGTGTGTGTGTGTGTGTGTGTGTGTGTGTGTGTACGTTTGTTTGTGTGAGCATGTGCGCTTCTAGGGGTGTGTGCGAGTGTGTGTAATACACAATATACACATTGTCTTGATGAAAAAAGTTGTAATGAGGGGGATTGTAAATGGGATATATAGTTTAGTAGGTTTTATTGTCTTTTGGTCGTTTTTTAATAATAGTTTCTCGACCTCAGCATCTTAACGCTGTAACGTGTTTATTAGATGACGATGCATATTTAACTTCTATCGTTCTGTCAGCCAGAATCTGTTAACTGCACTGTTGACTTCTCGGAGCTGAATGAAAGGATCGACCTGCGCTTCGCCATGTTCAAGAAGGAGACTCACAACCACTTCGTGAAGCTCATCGACGCCGCTCAGCTCAACATTCGCGGTGCTCCAGAGGGCAAGAAGGAATCTAAAGACGAGCCCGAAGAAGTCCCAGAGCTAGAGACTATCAATGAGGGCAAAAGAGTGTCCGAGAAGAGCGAGAAAAAGTTGTCCTCACTCACAAAGAAAGGAAAGCCTTCCATCTCAGCACAGGAGCAGAGGGAGGAAGGTATAACTACGGAGACGCCGAGCTCGAGTGGCCGTTACAGATACTCTGACGAGTACAACGAGACTTATTACGAGGAGAACGATCAGAGAATTATGAGAGCACTCACAAATATGACCAGTAGTGTGCTGCAAGCCGTGAACTACTTCCGCCACACCGGTCGGATGTTGGAACAAATCATGTCCAATACTGACAACCTCGTCTCGTCACAGACTGACCTGATGCGCAAAGTAGAAGGTCTCGAGTCCTTGGCTTTCCCTCAGAAAACGACGGGCAAATCTGGAGAAATAAGTAACGCAATTCCCGGTTCGCAGCATCAAACACAAGGTGACGAGGGGTCCACTTCGCGTCCTTTGACTGGATCATCCCCTGACCACTGTATCGTGTCCAATGACCTCGTCAACAACATGGCTACTATAGCCAAAAACGGCAGTCAGCTTTTAGAGGTAAGACAATCAAATTGAGTGTTTTGAGTAAATATTCATTAGGGGAGGGGGGGGGCACAAACAATGGGTAGTGAAACCTCTTTTTGTGTGTAAATTTTGGTTTGATTTATTAGCCTGATGACTGATTACTGTGTGCACCCACAACTTGCT